GTGTGTGTGTGTGTGTGTGTGCGTGTGTGTGTGCGTGTGTGTGTGTGTGTGTGTGTGTGTGTGTGTGTGTGTGTGTGTGTGTGTGTGCAAACCCTTGTTGCGAAACCATCTGTTCTCTTCTAAAATTATCACAAAACGACCCTACCTAGGAGTTGGAGCATTTAGGAAATCAACATCTACATCTACACCGACAGCTACATGTACATCTACACTTGCATCTACATCTACACCAACATCAACAGCGAGACTCAAACCGACATCTACATCTACACCTACGCTCGGCTGCGCTGTGTTATGCTATGCTATGCTATGCTATGCTGTGATGCGGTATGCTATGCTATGCTGTGCTATGCTATGCTCCGCTATGCTATGCTATGCTATACTGCGCTACGCTATGTTATGCTAGGGTATGCTAAGATATGCTATGCTGCGCTATGCTATGCTATGCTATGCTGCGCTGTGCTATGCTAAGCAATGCCATGCTATGTTATACTGCGCTATGATCTGCTCTGTGATATGCTATAGTATGCTACGCTATGCTATGCTGAGCTATGCTATGCTATGCTATGATATGCTTGACTGTGCTATGCTATGCTTATGCTGCGCTGCGCTATGCTGCGCTGCGCTATGCTGCGCTAAGCTAAGTCCAGCTATGCTATGCTAAGCTAAGCTAGGCTAGGGTAAGCTAAGCCAAGCCAAGCCAAGCTAAGCTCAGATGTAAGCTAAGCTAAGCTAAGCTAAGCTAAAACTAGACTAGGCAAAGCTAAGCTAAGTTGAGCGAAGCTAAGATGATATAAGCTAAGCTAAGCTAAGCTAGGCTAAGCTTAGCTAAGCTGGGTGAACCCAGGGGGCGCAACTGGGGGAACCGCGGGGCGGGGACTGGGGGAACCGCCCGGGGCGGCCTACACTGCCAGGCCTCTTAAAGCAAAGAAAGTAAGAACCCTCTAGGCAGAGCCTAGGTAGGGAAATATGTATTCGGGACGCGTGATGTTGTCATCGTTACGAACCTGAGGCTTTTCAAGGAATTCGGCATGCGCGCGCGACGGCGCGCGCGCGTGTGCACTTCGTCCATTATCCCACTGCGACCCTACCTAGGAGTTGGAACCCCTAGGAAAGCAACATTAGTAGTAACAGTAACGCTAAGCTAAAGCTAAGCTAAAGCTAAGCTAAAGCCAAGCTAAAGCTAAGCCACAGCTAAGCCAAAGTTAAGCTAAAGCCAAGCTAAAGCCAAGCTAAAGCTAAGCTAAAGCTGAGCTAAAACTGAGCTAAAACTGAGCTAAAGCTGAGCTAAATCGAAGCTAAAGCTAAGTTAAAGCTGAGCTAAACGCTAAGCTAGAGCTAAGCTCAACGCTAAGCGAAAAGCTAAGCGAAACGCTAAGCTAAAGCTTTGCTGCAGCTGAGCTAAAGCTAAGCTACAGCTAAGCTAAAGCTAAGCTAAAGCTACAGCTAAAGCTCCCAGGGGACTGGGGGGAACCGCTCCCAGGGGACTGGGGGAACCGCCCGGGGCGCTTAGCACTGCCCGGCCCCTTTTGAGCTAAGAGAGTAAGAACCCGTCTAGGCAGAGCCTAGGTAGGGAATTAAAATGCGAAAAAATATTGAACACGGATGATTTTTGACAAGCGGGGTGGTGGCGATACCGGCCTGCCCAGGATGTGTGATCTCATATTTCGGATGGGCGGTGGGGCAGAGTCATGTAAAAATTGCAATGCGCGACGGTGTGCCGTTAATCCCGTGGGGGGGGGGGGAATCCCAATACTGTGTTAGAAAAAAGAATCCATGTGACGCAATCTCTGTGGCACAATATACGTGACGCAACCTAGATATTGCAAGCAATGTGGTGCACTAAATGTTGTTCCAGGGTGTGCAACATGTCGTGGTGCAATCTATGTTTTGCAATTTCTGTCGGCCAGTACATATATGTATGTATGTACGTATGTATGTATGTATGTATTCATGTATATATATATAATATATATATATATATATATATATATATATATATATATATATATTATGTACAGTCGATGTAAAGCAATATCTGTTATGCAACATCCGATGCGACGGGGGCGACAGGGCGGCGACGGCGACACCACGGCCGTCAGACCGACAGACGGGCTCCAACTGCGGGCGGCGACGAGGCGGCGACGGGGCGGCGACGACGGCAACACAACCGCCAGACCGACAGACAGGCTCAATTACGAGCGGCGACGAGGCGGCGACGGCGGCAACATCGTCGACAGAGACCGACAGACATGCCCAGTTGCTAAGTGGAGAAGAAGAGGAGTCCCTAAATGCAAACACTGTTTGAGGAAACGTAGGAAGGAGAGGGAACGCGTCCCGAAAATGATGAGCGCCTTCCCAGAAAGCGGGGAACAGATGAATTGATGAAGGAACGCTCTAAATCACCTTCACTCAGAAGGTTGGTCGGACTATTCGCAGATGCTTGGGTCAAATTCGAATGGTCACCACTTGTCGGAATGGTTTTGCTGAACTTGTTGGCCATTGCAACATCGACAACACGTGTGGCTAGAATCCACCGACCCTGTCTGCGTGCGCATGGGACTTTTCTGTTATAATCCTCGTCGTCGTCGTCGTCGTCGTTGTCGCTGTCGCCATTCCTCTCCTGTCCGTGGGTCATCTCCCTCAGACATTCCATCTAGATGGAACTCGAGCTCCAAGAGGGCCCTGAAGCAGCCCAAGATCGGTCCAAGACGGCCCAAGATGTCCTCAAGACGGCCTCGGGGCCCCCCAAGACGCACCAAGAGGGCTCCAAGAAGAGCCCCAAGAAGGCCCCAAGACAAACACATCTGTGATTTTCATTGTGTTTTTTGTAGTGTTGTTCCCGCCCTCGCCTGTCCGGGCTTCCTACGCCCCAAAACGGTCCAGGACGCCCCTCAAATCGCCCCAAAACGGCCCAATTAGCTGCCGGAGACGCCCCCAAACTGCCCAAGACGGGCGATGCCGGAACCAGCAGGGGATGCCGCGGCCCAAGATAGCTCCAAAACAGCCCAAAATGCTTTCAAGACGGCCGACGAGGGCTCCAAGAAGGCCCCAAGAGGCCCCCGAAAGCTGGAACACCACCCGAAAATTCAAGCCTTCCGTCCCAAAAAGGCTCCCAAGAGACTCCAAGAGGCCCCCAGGAAGCCCCCAGGAGACCATCAAGAGGCCGAAGAGAGCTCCAAGGGCACTCCCAAGAGAACCTTAACAGGGCAAAATCAAAGATGTCCAATCAATTTCTGAATGATTTTCGTCGTCGCCGTGATCGCCGTGGTCGTGTTCGTGGTCGTGGCCATGATCGTGGTCGTCGTCGTCCTTCAGGGTCGGCGGCACCAGCCGTGGGGCCTTCACAATAACATAGCCAACGCCGGTCCCAAAACGGACGGCTACGGCAACAACACCCGGCCCTATTGCGAAATCGCGCAGTTTGGGGATGACTGCAAGTCCGGCGAGCCGATTGCACGACGGCCGTGATTGCGTGTTCTGCCACGGCTGCCACACACAATACCAATGACAAGAACAGCAGCCACAACTACACAGGAAACTGCGCGGCAGCGCAATAGCGGTAATGCAAGTATTTTGCAGGTGCGGATGCGAAACAGTCCCCCCTTCAAGAACAGCTTACCCCGACCAGGAGAATACGGCAGTCCCCCTTCCCCGTGAAATCCAGGTTGGGCTCCGAGTCCCGCGTGGCATTGGACATGTTCGTTCGACAGCGTATTGGTGGGCACGTCTAGGCCTCCACGTGTGGTATTCCATCCGCGGCAACGTCGCGAATGCGTACGGTATTGGTCCGATATGGGCATCCTGTATGTCTTGGGAAGTGTGCTCCAGCGTGAACCGTGTGCACCTTGCCTGACGGTAGTCGCGTACACGCTTCAATCCCCAAACACCTCCTCCTCCTCCTCCTCCTCCTCCTCCTCCTCAGCTGCGTGCTCAGTGCAGTGTTGTATCATTTGGATTCGGCTTGCTTGGTAAAACAAGCAGAAAGCGATTAGATGCGGTTCGCCTGGCGTTAGCGACACCTTTTTCCACGTCCTACTTGTAAGACAAGATGGTGCACCCATAACTCGTGACATACGTCGCCGCAGGGGGCTGCCGCGCCAACTCTGGGCAATGAACATACCCGTTTGTGAATTGCTATGTAAGGAACATTTGCAGCGCCTCTGGAGCTGGAATTACCCGACGCTGGATTCATACGATCTATTGCACCCGAGTGTGTCATCTGGTATTGGTTTTCACTTTCGAGGGTACGACCCTGTTTTAGCCCCCGAGCGCTTGCGCCCAGCCCGGCACCACGAACGTGGAAGGGAACATGCTGTTAGGGGAAGCGAGGTATGTCAATCAGCTTCCTTCTGGGATGCACTTCCCAGAAACCTTCTTGCTGCAAAAATAGCTTGAGCCTCCAGCTAGATGGCTACCAAACCAACAGGCCCCAAACAGGAGACTCCCGAACGATCTCGAAGAAGGCCCAAACTTTCCATCGGGGCTGCGGAAAGGCACTGTGATATCACGTGGTCCTTTGGGTCTTGGGGGACGACTGCAACTGCCACAGGACACACTGTTCAGGGAAACATGGGACGCACAGAGACATACTAAGACTATACGTGCGTTCTCCTCGGAGGCGCGCGTCCGACTCGAACACACAGTATACCCATCTTGTAGCACATCGTTTCCCAGCGGGGTTGCCAGAAAGCGCCCGCCACGACGCATGTACTGTGCGACCTCTCACTGCGCGGGTCGCCCCTGGGGGGGGCGACGCACACGTAGTGTACAGTCGAGGCGTTGACCTGAGGGACCCTAAATAAGGAGCGAGGCCCCTTTTCCCCATAAGTTCAACCTCGATGTCCCGTGGAAAACCTCAGGAAAGCCCGAGGCAAACTTTGAAACCTGCAAGGAACACCGAGCCCCTCCCCAGCGAAAAGGGTTCCTTCTTCAGCGCCCCGACTGTATAGAAGCACGCGGGGGTGACGCCGAAGGCAGGTGCAGCGGGGGGGGGACGCCGCAGCAACCGCACCGGGAGGCGAACCGTGTGCGGGCCTGTGGCCTCGCCCAGAACAACACGCACAGCAGAGCTCGTGAAACTGGCACGATACGGAGTGGGCCGCGCGGTCGCCCAAAAACTGCCTGGGAGGAGGGAGGAGGAGACAGAGAACCGGACAGGAAACTGCCACATGATTGACTACGGCCTTCCTGTGGCCATCGCTCGGACGTCCAGTCCCTGTGTTTTTTTCGGTTTCGCGCGTGTTTTTGTCGCCAAATGATCAAGGATGCTCCTCGATGGTCCTCGCCGAAGGAAAAATGCACACGTCCGAGCGATGCCAAGTTCCTTGGTTGGGCTGGGAAAGCGAGCCGTCGCACGCCACGGCCCCCAGGGGGGCCCTGGGTGAAGAGAGGTGCCACGCATGCGGCGGGCGTGCGGGTCGCTGAGGAACACGGCCGGCACACGCCGCGGCCCTCCCCCCGGAGGCGGAGTGGGGAGGAGGAGGAGGAGGAGGAGAGGAGGAGGAGAGGAGGAGGATGAGGGAGGAAGGAGGAAGAGGAAGGAGGAGGAGTAGAGGAGAGGGAGGAGGAGGAGGAGGATGAGAGAGGAGGAGGAGGAGGAGGAGGAGGAGGGGAGGATAGGATGGAGGAGAGGAGGAGGAGGAGGAGGAGGAGGGAGAGGAGGAGGAGGGTGAGGAGGAGGAGGAAGGAGGAGGCGGAGGAGGAGGGGAGGAGAGGAGAGGAGAGGAGGAGGAGGAGTAGATGAGGAGAGAGGAGGAGGAGAGGGGGAGGAGGAGGATGAAGGCGGGACAGGGAGTAGGGTAGGAGTGGGATGAGGGCGAGGAGGAGGAGGAGGAGGAGGAGGAGGAGGAGGAGGAGGAGGAGGAGGAGGAGGAGGAGGAGGAGGAGGAGGAGGATTTCGCTGGCAACCAACCACACAGTGCAGGAAGAGGGGGGGAGGAGGCGGAGGAGGCGGAGGAGGCGCGAGAAAAGCGTGCCACTTGTTACGGCCCTTTGCGAGCCGAGGGCGGAAGCTGCCACACGTTGCGGTCGTCCGCGCGGGTTTTGGAAATGGCCACCATACATGAGCATGCCTGGCACGGAGTGCGACACTAGCGGCAAACATCGAAATCATGCTCTCAACATGTACGATGCTGAATGTGCAAGATTACCATATTCGTGAGGGCGCAACAAATACCGCAAGGCAGCGCGAACTGGAACAGATCGGGATATCGGGGGCGAATTCAGATGCAGTAGTGGATCATGTCATGGTAACTTGTGGAAACACGGAGACGAGTCACCTTTTCGCATCCGGCGGAACTCACGAGCAAGTACGCCACTTAATGGTCATTGGTTGTCCCATTCCGCACTACATAAAGTGAAACGCTCCCTTCAGTGCTGTCGGGCGTGACATGTCTCTCAAGAGTAAGAGCTGGCACCTCGATTAACACGGCCACCTGAGGCAAGAACGGCAATAATTGCAATACCGTCGATGCCCTCAAGGTCTTCCCCCCCCACCTGCATTCCGTCACCCCAGATGGAGATCTCTGAGGACCGCCTCCCGGTTTCCGTTTCTCCTCTCGTGCTCCTGCCCCGCGCATACCAAGCACGCTCACCGTTCCTCGTCTTGACAAGCGCTGCCCAGGGTCGGCGCTGAAAAGATAGCGTGCCACATCGACCTCAGAAAACATGCTACCCCTGTGAGGCAATCCCCCCCGCGAGGGCCCCCTCTGTGCGCGCTTGCCCCCCTGCCAGGGGACTTCGTCAGTGCACGCTATATCCCCGAGGCGCGGGCCGGCGTGCAATCGGCGGGCCGGCCGGCGGCCACACTGCACGCCATCTTCCCGGCGCCTAACTGTGTGCCTGCTGCCTCCCCTGAGATCCGACGCGGCGACACAACCCTGCAACGTCGTGAAACATCATGCCTGGAGCCCTGAGCTTCGCAGAATGCATCTAATAAATACACCACCGCCGTGCCAAGGCAGGGCCATCCCGGGCCCCAGGATGGTGTATACGCCCTCCTGGCCGAAGCCAAGAGGGTCTATACACCATTCTGGGCCCCAGGATGGCCCTGGCTTGGCACGGTGGTGGTGTATAGATGCCTTCGTCGGATGAACCCATCTTGCTGCGTCACTTCTCGGGCCGGGTCGACCTGCGAGGGTCCTGGGGCCCGAAGAGACCAAACAATGTCGGGCTCGACAAAACTGCGAAGCCAGGATCTCAGGGTTCGCTGCCTCCCGACTCTCTGGCAGCGGTCCGAGGAATCTGTCGACCGCCCTCGGGACGCCTGCGTCGTGGGCCGTGGCCATCCCGAGGGCAGTCGTCGATGAGAGAAGGACGGAGGTTCTATTCTATTCTATTTCCCTACCTAGGCTCTGCCTAGAAGGGTTCTTGCTCTCTGGGCTTAAAAGGGCGGGCAGTGCAAACCGCCCCGGGCGGTTCCCCCGGTATCCGCCCCGCGGTTCCCCCAGTTACGTCCCCTTAGCTTAGCGTTGCTTATCTCATCTTAGCTCAGCTTAGCTTAGCTTAGCTTCATCTTAGATTCGCTTAGCTGCAGCTTAGCTGTAGCTTAGCTTAGCTTAGCTTAGCTTAGCTTAGCATATCATAGAATAGCCCAGCATCGCATAGCATAGCGCAGCATAGCATAGCATAGCATGGCATAGTATAGCGCAGCATAGCACAGCATAGCATAGCATAGCGCAGCAAATCATATACCATAGCCTGGCATAGCATAGCACAGCCTAGCGTAGCATATCATAGCGCAACATAGCATAGTGTAGCACAGCATCGCATAGGAGAGCTATGCCTAAGGGTGAAATAAATCTGCGTAGTGTTTTTGCGTAGTGTTTTTTTTTTTTTTTTTTTTGCGTAGGGTTTTTGCATAGTGTTTTTCGCGTAGTGTTTTTTCGCGTAGTGTGTTTTTCGTAGGCATTTGATGGGCGCGAGTTTTTCTCGTCGAGAAGGCTTGCGTCGCGTACCTCGCGTCGTGTGGTGTGTGAGTGGCTTTGGCGTAATGTATGTGCGTATGTCTTTGCGTCGATGTGTCGAGTATTTGCGTCGTTTATGGTGGCTGATTGCGTTTTGCGTAGTGTTATTGCGTATTGTGTTGGCGTAGTGTATTTTCTAGTGTTTTGCGTAGTGTTTTCGGGGGGGGGGACCACTATGTTTTTTTGCGTGTTGTTTTTCGCGTAGTGCTTTTGCGTAGTGTAATTCGGGCAGTGTTTGTTCCCGGGCGCATCTGCGTAGTGTGTGCGTAGTGGTTTTGCGTCATGTATTCGCGTCGTGTGTGTGCTGAGTGCGCTTGCGTAGTGTAATGGTGTATTGTGGTAGTGAAATTGCGTAGTGGTTTTGCGTCGTGTATTCGCGTCGTGTGTGTGTGTGTGTGTGTGCTGAGTGCGCTTGCGTAGTGTATTGTGGTATAGTGCATTTGCGACGTGTATTTGCGTCTTGTATGTGCTGAGTGCGTTTGCGTAGTGTATTGGCGTAGTGTGTTGGCGTAGTGTATTTGCGTAGTGTTTTTGCATAGTGCTTTTGAGTAGTGATTTTGTGTAGTGTTTTTGCGTAGCGTTTTTCGCGTAGTGTGTTTGCGTAGTGTTTTTGCGTAGTGGTTTCGCGTAGTGTTTTCGCGTAGTGTGTTTTGGCGTAGTGTTTCTGCGTAAGTGTATTTGCGTAGCGCATCTGCGTAGTGCTTTTGCGTGGCGTATTCGCGTCGTGTATTTGCGTCGTGCGTGTGTGTGCTGAGTGCGTTTGCGTAATGTGTTGGCGTAGCGTATGTGCGTCGTGTGTGTGCTGAGTGCGTTTGCGTAGTGTATTGGTGTAGTGTATTGGCGTAGCGTATTTGCGTAATGTTTTTTTCGCGTAGTGCGATTGCGTGGTGATTCTGCGTCGTGTTTTTGCGTAGTGTTTCTTGCGTAGCGTATTTGCGTCGTGTTTTTGCGTAGTGTTTTCTGCGCGGTGTACTCGCGTAGTGTATTCGCGTAGCGCATCTGCGTACTGTTTTTGCGTACATGTTTTTGCGTCGTGCACTCGCGTCGTGTATGTGCTGAGTGCGCTTGCGTAGTGTATTGGCGTAATGTATCGGCGTCGTGTATTTGCGTCGTGTATTTGCGTCGTGTATGTGCTGAGTGCGTTTGCGTAGTGTATTGGCGTAGTGTGTCGGCGTCGTGTTTTTGCGAAGTGTTTTTGCGTAGTGTTTTCGCGTAGTGATTTTGCGTAGTGTTTTTGCGTAGTGTTTTTGCGTAGTGCTTTTCGCGAAGCGTTTTTGCGCAGTGTATTTGCGCAGTGTGTTTGCGTAGTGCTTTTGCGTAGTGTTTTCGCGTAGTATATTTGCGTAGCGCATCTGCGTAATGCTTTTGCGTAGTGTTTTTGGTTCGTGTATTCGCGTCGTGTATGTACTGAGTGCGCTTGCGTAGTGTATTGGCGTAGGTGTATTCGCGTCCTCCTCCTCCTCCTCCTCCTCCTCCTCCTCCCTCTCCTCCTACTCCTACTCCTATCCGCGGCTACCTGGTATCGGTCCTTAAATGTTCCTCCTCTTCCCCCTCCTCCTCCTCCATATCAGTCCAAAGTTCGTCCTCCCCCTCCTCCTCCTCCTCCTCCTGCTCCTCCTGCTCCTCCTGCTCCTCCTGCTCCTTCTGCTCCTCCTGCTCCTCCTGCTCCTCCTGCTCCTCCTCCTCCTCCTCCTCCTCCTCCCTGTACTCCAGTTCTAGCAAATATCGGTTCACATTCCCCCCCCCCCCCTCCACGCCTCCGCAACTGCCCGCCTCCTGCGGCGAACGTGACGTGAGACGCGGGCGACGCGCTGCGTTGGGATTCGGGCGTGTTGTTTCCGTGTAGTAGCGCGCCGACTCAGGGCGCTCCTGAAAACACGACGTAAACACACTACGCAGAATGAGTGCCCTCGTGGGCATCGTCTCGCGCCAGTTCCGCCCGAATCCGCAGCCCCCCACGGCATCGGGCGAAACTGTCCAAAGACGCGGGCGACGCGGCATGCTGCTGCGCAAGGGTTTGGGCGCCCTCGTGGGCATCGCCTCGCGCCAGTTCCGCCCGAATCCGCAGCCCCCCGCGGCGTCGGGCGAAACTGTCCAGAGACGCGGGCGACGCGGCATGCTGCTGCGCAAAGGGTTTGGGCGTGTTGGCGTGGTGGCGCGCCGACTCGGGGCGCTCCTGCAGGCACTGCGTAAACGTACTACACAGAATGCCCCCGTCGCCCGCATCTCGCGTGAATTCCGCTCGAAACAGCGGCTCCCCGTGGCCATGGGCGAACGTGACGTGAGACGCGGGCAGCGCGGGTTTGGGCGTCGTTGTTTGCTGCGTGGTTGCTTGCCGGCTCGGGGCGCTCCTGGAAACACTACGTAAAAACACTACGCAGCATGCACTCGTCGCCCGCGTCTCGCGCCAGTTCCGCCCGAATCCGCAACTCCCCGCGGCCTCGGCCAACGGTGACGAGAGACGCGGGCGACGCGGCATGCTGCTGCGTGGGGTTTCGGGCGTGTTGTTCCCGCGTAGCAGCGTTGCCGTCTCGGGGCGCCCCTGGGAACACTACGTAAAAACACTGCGCAGAATGCCCTCGTCGTCCGGACTTCGCAGGGCCGCGCCAGCCGCTGGAGCGCCCGCTCACGAGACCTCCCTGGTCACACACGTACTGTGCGGATGTGACGTACTCACGTACCTAATGCTTCTCCGTAGTGTGTGTTTTGCGTAGTTTTTTTTTTTTTTTTTTTTTTTTTTTTTTTTTTTTTTTTTTTTTTTTTTTTTTTTTTTTTTTTTTTTTTTTTTTTTTTTTTTTTTTTTTTCTCTCTCTCCACCTTTAAAATTTCTATTTCACCATTAAAAAATCAATTTTACCATTGACCACAACCGTCATCGCATAGCATAGTGCAGCATATCATAGCATAGCATAGCAGCAGAGCAAAGGCAAAACAACATCAGCAACAGCAAAGCACAGCACTAGCAACGCAGAGCAAAGCAAAGCAAAGGCAAAACAAATGAAAGACAAAGCAAACACAATGCGCAACAGTACGATCAGAGAGCCGACCTGGTGAGCGAATGCAAGAACATGCGTGTTTGTGCGAAGGCAAAACAACAGCAAAACCAAGCAACAGCAAACACAAACAAAAGCAACAACAACTACGACGATGAGGAGAAGGAGGAGGACGGCGTTTACCGTTACTACTAATGCTGCTTTCCTAGGGGCTCCAACTCCTAGGTAGGGTCGCACTGGGGTAATCTATTCTACCTCGGAGCGTGGTGACTGGCTGCTGGGCTAGAGAGGAGGACGAGGAGGACGAGGAGGAGCAGGAGGAGGAAGAGGAGGAGCAGGAGGAGCAGGATGAGGAGGAGGAGCAGGAGGAGCAGGAGGAGGAGGAGGAGGAGGAGCAGGACCCTCCTCGCGACGATTGCGTCGTGGGCCGTGGGCCGTGGCCATCCTGATGGCGCCGGGGGGGCCGCCATCCCAGCCCGCGCCCTTCCGCGGCCCCTGCCGTGCGCCCGCTCGTTCCCCGCTGTGCGACGCTTCCCTCCCTCCCTCCCTCCCTCCCTCCTCCTGCCCCCTCCCTCCCTCCCTCCCTCCCTCCTGCCCCCGGAGGGGTGCCTCGGTGAGTGGGCGGCTCATCGGGGCCCCGGGGGAACTTAAACCCGCTCAGCCGTCCCTCGGGGCGCCGCTGTGGGTTAGGTCGGGTCCTGGGGTGTCGGGCTGTCCCACTTGGCCACTCGGGCCAGGGGGCAGCGTGGCCTTCAGGGCACGGCCTCACTTGCCGCGACAAAACACCCGCTCGCGGGGGGTGGGTGGGTGCGGGAGGAGTAAAAGGCTGGGGTCCCGTCCGCCACAACGCCAGTCTCCGTACTCGGGTCCCCCCGCACCACGAGGTGGTCGGGAGAGGCTCATGGATGCGTGCCACCTGGTCCCCCTTTTGCAAGGGGAGGTGCGGGGGTGGTCCTGGGCTCCGCTAGGTCTCGCGCCAGGTGACCCGCCTGGCGGTCGAGGGAGTTTCAGAGTTCCGACCTGCAGTGGCAGGCGGAAGCTTGGGTCAACATGAGTGAATGGCTTGCGCGTGCAAGTGCGGCGGAGGCGCCGCTGGGGCTGCTTCCTCTTTCCGAAGGAGTGTGCACGCAGGCACGGAAGAACCCGCTGGTGCCCCAAGGCGAACGTTTCTGTCTTGCCTCTCTTCCGCCATTCGGAGGAACTGTCTCGGTGCGAAGGCGCTGAGGAATGAACGTTCGGGCTTGTTTGAATTTTTAATTTCGCATCGCGAAGGGGCTAATTCCAATTCCAATTCCCTGCCTCCTCCTCCTCCTCCTTGTCCGCCTCCTCCTCCTCCTCCTCCTCCTCCTCCTCCTCCTCCTCCTCCCTCTTCCTTCCTCCTCCATCACCTCCCCTATCTTCCTCCCTCCCCTCTTTCCTCCATTCCTCCATTCCTCCTCCTCCTCCTGCTCCTCCTGCTCCTCCTCCTCCTCCTCCTTCTCCCTCCCTCCCTCCCGCCCTCCTTACTCATCCATCCCTTTCCTTTACAGTAGAACATATGAGCAAGAAAAATATCGTTCAACAAATCTGGGCCAGCTTCCCGGAGGTCTCTTAGAACAAACTTGGGCCAATTTCTGCCGTGCATGCTGGAGGGGCGAACGCACTCAAGAAACTGGGCCAGCTTACCGGCACGTTGGTTAAGAAACGCTGGGCCATCTTTTCGGGAGGAGGTTTCTTAATATGCTAGACGATAACAACTCCTCCCTGTCGCAAGGAGGGCGGGCCGTTTTTTAAATGTGGCTCTCGCATTCGCGCCGCGCACATCCGTCGTTAAAGTTTGAAGCAATTTCGCGGACGGAGGGCCGGCCGTTTTCAAAATGTGGCTCTCGCTTTAACGCCGCGCACATTCGGCTTCAACTTTCAAAGTTGGAAGCAATTTCAAAAAAGGAGGGCGGTTCGTTTTTAACATGTGGTTCTCGCCTCAACGTTGCGCGTATTCGTCTGTCGGAATCCCGAGAATGGTGTCCTGTCAATATTCCGGATGGTCAGAACGCAAGAGCCACGTTGATTCGCTATAAGTCCCAGGACCGGTGTTCGGGCACGATCTAGGATTGTCAGGGCGCAACAGTAACGTTTACTTGCGACGCTGAAGTCCCAGGACATATGTTTCGGCACGACTGAGAATTCTTAGACGCTTGCCTTCCAATGGGGCATATCCCGCAATGCTAACAGCTTTGTGCAGCCCTGTGAAGAGGGAGCTTGGAGAGAGGGTTTATTGAAACATCGTTGATCCCTCTTGGGTTTACACGGGTTCTCCTCCTCCTCCTCCTCCTCCCTCCTCCACCCCCTCCTTCCTACTACACCTCCTCCTTCCTCCTTCCTCCTCCTCCTCCATCCTGCTCCCTCTCCTCCTCCTCCTCCTCCTCCTCCTCCTCGTCATTATTCCTCCCCCCGCCCTCCCTCCTCCTTCCTGTTCTCATGCCTCGCTCTCCTCCTCCTCCCCCTCCCCTTCAGCTTCCGCCTCACCCCTCCTCCGCCGCCTTCCTCCTGCTTCTTGCCTCCTCCCACCTGCGCCCAGGAGTGGTCCTGATCGGCGATGGTGTACATGCGGCATCCCGCGAACGGAAGCATCCTCCTCCTCATCCTCCCCCTCCTCCTCCTCCTCCTCCTCCTCCTCCTCCTCCAGGGCGTGCCTAAGGGGGCAGCCAGAAGTCGCGCGCGTCGCACCCAGCCCTGCGGCCTCCGCGGAAGTACCTCTTCGAAACCACAATGGGCCTCATCCCGGAATCTCGACTGCAATCCGCCGCTCTGTCCCCCAAGGTCGGAGGAAGATCAACCGGCAGAAACATTAGTGTTCGGAGATCCGCGCCGATTTTTCCCGATCGGCGCAAGACCCCCCTCCCTGGCAGCGCGCCACAGATGGTGCTGGAGGCGCCTTCACGGGGTGTGTGGCGCCGACCCGAGAAACGCTCGCGGACCTCCGAAGGTTTATGTTCATGCCGATTCATATCTCTCTCTCTCTCTCTCGGGTCTGACGAAAGAGAAAGGGGGCTGATAAAAGGGGTTCGCGAATCAAGCAGTTCGTAGGTTGCTCGCGGCTTGGACCGACCTCGCCGGCGACCCCGTCCACCGCGCGGAGACGACCCAGCGGTTACGACGAGCATGGCCCATTGTGGCCCTTAAAATGGTGCGCACCTCGCCGCGGCGAGCACTGGAGGCCCGTGAATCCCGTGGGATTGCCAACTACTTTGTGGGCTGTCAGCTTGCGTAGCTGGTTTCCCTGGCGCCTTCCCGCGCCGGAAGCGGCCATGTGTCGAAGGAGGGCCGCTGGTGGCGGAGACGAACGGTAGCCTCCTCCCCCTTCTCCTCCTCTTCCTTTCCAGATCCCCTGCCTTCGGCCGACCCGAGCCTCTCCGAGTCTTCTGAGCAGGGTCCGACCATCCCAGCAGTCCTGTATCCCTGCCACGACACCCCCTTCTCGAAGTAACAAACTTTCCAGGGGCAAAAGCTTGGCTCTCAGAACACATGGCCGACGCATCGGAGCAGGGCTGCCTCGGTCAAACATGCCCCGAGAACCTCTCGGGCAGGCCGCCAGATTAAGCCGTGAGAACCTCTGTGGTGGGCCCGAAGAGGCAGACTAGCACGCTCCGCCACTGCCTGAAACTCCGAGGCGGCGAGGGGACGGACGGCGTGGTTGGAGGAGGAGGAGGAGGAGGTGGAGGAGGAGGTAGAGGAGGAGGTGGAGGAGGAGGAGGAGCAAAGGAAGAGGATAAGGACGAGGAGGAGGAGGAGGAAGAGGAGGAGGAGGAGGAGGAGAGGAGGAGGAGGAGGAAAAGGAAGAGGAGGGGAAGAGGGGAGGAGGAGGAGGAGGAGGAGGAGGAGGAGGAGGAGGAGGAGGAGGAGGAGGAGGATAAGGATGAGGATGAGGATTAGGATGAGGATGAGGATGAGGAGGAGGCGAAGGAGGAGGAGGAGGAGGAGAAGGAGGAGGAAGCCCCTCGCCGCCCGCCGCTGCCGCCTGCGAACTGGCAGGCCCCGGCGTGGTCGAGGGGGACGAGGAGGAAAGGAAGAGGAGGAGGAAGAGGAGGAGGATGAGGAGGAGGAGGACGAGGAGGCTGAGGAGGAGGAGGAGGAGAGGAGGAGGAGGAGGAGGAGAGGAGGAGGAGGAGGAGGAGGAGGAGGAAGCCCCTCGCCGCCGCCGCTGCCGCCTGCGAACTGGCAGGCCCCGGCGTGGTCGGAGGGGCGGAGCTGCGCGCCCGCGCCGCACCAGAAGCTGGCGCGCTTCGTGGGGGCCTTGCTGGGGGGGGGAGGATCGAGGGGGGGGGGGGCGACTCCTCCCCCCCTCCCTCCTCTTCCTCCTCCTCCTCCTCCTCCTCATCCTCCTCCTCCTCCTCCTCCTCCTCCTCCTCCTCCCTGCTCCTCCTCCTTCGTTTTCTATACAAATCACTTCTCCCTGTCGCACCCCGAGGCAAGTTCTTAGGGCGTGCCGGGCGTTTCGCCTGCGACTTCCTCACTATTTATGACTCTGAAGCTTGAAAATTGGCAGCAGTTTCACACATAGAGGGCGGGCCGTTTTCAACATATGGCTTCGTCGTAGCGCCGCGCACATTCGTTTCAAAAGTTGGAAGAGTTTCACGGATTGAGGGCCAATGGTTTTCAACATATGGTTCTCGCCTGCGCGGCGCGCACATTCGTTTGCAAACAATTGCAAGGGTTTCGCGGATTGAGGGCGGTTCTTTTTCAACATGTGGCTCTCGCCTTAGCGCCGCGCGCATTCGCTTGTAACATTTGCAAGAGTTTCACGGGCTCCCATGATCAACGTACCAGAAACGGTGTCTTGGAAGGGTTCCGGATCATGCGGGTGCAACAGTTACGTCGGTTCGCGGTGTTGAAGTCCCAGGAATGGCATTCTGACACGATTCAGGATCGTCAAGGCGCAACAGTCAGGTTGATCCGTGGCGCTGCAATCTCGAGAACAACGCTTTGGCATGCTTCAGGGTCTTCCAACGGTTGTCTTCTAACGAGGCAGTTCCCTCAATGGAAGTGAACCGCTGTAGGGGCCTATGGAGAGGGAGCTTGGAGGGAGGGTTTACTCCAACATCGTCAATGGCTCTTGGGGTTGCACTGGTCCTCCTCCTCCTCCTCCTCTCCTCCTCCTGCTCCTCCTCCTCCTCCTGCTCCTCCTCCTCCTCCTCCTCCTCCTCACCCTCCTCCTCCTCTCCTCCTCCTCCTCCTCCTCCTCCTGCTCCTCCTCCTCCTCCTCCTCCTCCTCCTCCTCCTCCTGCTCCTCCTCCTCCTCCTCACCGATCGCCCCCGTCGGACAAGGCTTCTCCAGGTGGCCCGCCCGGCACGAGCCGTGCGCTGCCGCGGCGGGGAGCACCCGACCGCCGACCCCGAGGTCCCACAGGCTGCGGGAGGGGGCGGCCCGCTCTGGGAGGCGGTGCCCCCCTCCTTCGCCTCTCTAAAGCAGGGCTAGGATCGGGAGAAATCGCTCCAGAGCGTTCCGGAGCGCTCTCAGAGCGTTCCGGAACGCTCTGGAGCGGCCGCGGCGCCCAATGCATCCTCCAAGCCCGCCGATTCTCAGAGATTTCGAGTTATCCCGATCCGATTTTGCCCCGATCTTCGCGTCGTTTTACTCTCTGAGCAGATCAACAGACGAGCGCGTTCCACGACTCGCAAATACGGGGCGTGAAAACGACCCCAGCCACTGCTGTTCTTTTGCTGTCGCCCTCCAGCCCGCAGGAACAGAACAATGGCTGTGGTCGTTTTCGTCGAGCTCGGCACCAGGGAAATGACCACGACCACTGCTTCTTTTTCGGCCGGCTGGAAGGCGGCGCAAACAAGATGCAGTGGCTGTGGTCATTTTTCCGTCCCGCAGCAACGTAACTACTCGCAAGGTGCCTGCTCGCAAATTTAAGAGGCAACTACTGGGAGGTTTTCGTCGGGAAGATTGAGGAGGATTGAGCCCCCATTTGGGAGCTATTACGCCAGAGTGGGCCTCGGATGAAGCGGCATTCAGCCGGATTCAGCGGGATCAAGCGGGATTCAGCCGAACTAAGCGGGATCAAGCGGGATTGAGCCGGATTTCGGACCAGGGCAAAATCAGAATCTGACCTCTCAGGAGTTGCATCCCAAGCAAGTGGCCTGGATCCGCCGAGGGGGATCTGCGATTCATTACATCGAGGCAGTCGTTTGTTTTTTTTCTTTCGGGCGTTTGCGAGTAGGTACTTCGCGAGTAGCGGGACGCGCTCGGTGACGTAACATAGCTGCATGCACGTAAACTTTTCGGATGTCCGCGCGGATTTCTTGGATCGCCGCTGGACGCCCCCTGGCGGCGCCTGCGGCGCCGCCCCTGGCCCGCTCCGCACGAGTGGAAGGGTCCAGCGCCGACCCGTGAGACTCGCGGGCCTCCGAACATTTAGGTGTGCTTATGCACTTGTTTTCCTCTTCCGACTCTCCCTTCTCCTCCCTCCTCCTACGAGGGGGAACGACTGGCGCAAAGAAGAAACCTCGAACTTGAATCGGCGGTGCATCGCCGATAGGTCGGCGATAAGCCCCCGATAACGAATCCGCAACTACCTGGGCGGGGTGGGCCGGAGCCTATTCCCCCGAACGTTGCCCCTGAGCTGAGCACGAACACAAGACGAGGACTAAGCTGGATGAGGACGAATCTCACCTCCTCTCGTCAGGGGCGAAAACAACGACACACGTTTTGTGCCAAGTAGTTCTCGGCCTTGGGGGGCGCTTGCTGGGCCCTGGGACAGTGACAACAACGACTCAAGACGAAACGCCGGTCCTGGGGAAGGGGCCCAGGCCTCGAGGGGTTCACGCTGTGAAAAAGCTACGCCGTCGGAAGTTCGGGCTCCGCTCCGCGTGAAGACGAGTGACGGGGGGGCATTGCTCCCCAAATCCCCGACTTCGTGGGCGTCGCACGGACAATCGATTTGGGGCCCCGCTCGGGGATGTACGACGGGCGAATGCGCCTTCCTCGATGCGGGGCGCACGCTGACAGACCCCGCGGGGGTGTTTCCCCGAGTCGCCCCTCTTCTCTCAGCCTCCTGGGGGGGAGCTCGGGGCCTGGTGCCGAGAGAATCCCCGTCGAACGAGGCAAGGCCGAGGACAAAATTCTGCGCGAGGACAAACCAGGGGTCTCGGAGAGCAGGAGGGGCCGCAGGATGCGTCGGGCGCCGCTGCTGGGTCTCAGAGCGCTCCGGAGATGCTCCGAGAGCGCACCGGGAACGCCCTGGAACGATCCGGCCTCACCCTGCCTGGACCTCCGACGTCTTCTTGTTTCACAGCATCGCTTCCCCGGGACAAGAATTTCGCCCTGCATCGTGTTTTTTTTCATTCCCGGGCCCGGCGCGAGAGCCCCTCAAAAAATGCCAAACAAACCAGGCGTCGTGATCTCTCACGACGCGAGGGTCTCAGGGTAAACCAGCCCGACGCACGCCACGCCCTGCTTCGCAACCGGCCGCTGTCGCCGCAAGGCTGGGCTGGGTTGCATCATCTCCAGCCGCGCCTGCCGAACCCGTTCCGCGTGAGAGCCCGTTCGGCCACCAGGCGGGCAACCGAACGGGCTTAGCCTCGACAAGCGTCGTGGTGATTGAGCCCGTTCGGCCACCGAGCGGGCTCGAACCGGCTCAGACTCCGAACGGGCTCAATCGCCGAACGGGCGCAGGCGCCGAACGGTTTCCGACTTCCATGCTTTAATCAAAATCCCACACGTGTGAACACATCTCACTACTCAGGGATCCGTGCTCGCAAATGCAAAAGGAACAAGTCCGCCAACCCTTCGGCGTGTGTGAGACGCTTTTCCGCTTGAATCGTCGCCGTCGTCGTCGTCGTCGTCGTCGCCGTCGCCGTCGTCGTCGTAGTCGTCGGCGTCGTCGTCGCCAGTCCCAACAAAGTTAATGAACAAAGAAAACGAAAATTGTCTTTCAGTCGTTTCCCTTCCTTTTATCCCTTATCAATCGGGGGGTGGGGTGGGGCGGAGGGGGGAACAGGCCCCGGGTCAGAATTCCGTACCCGCCTACCCGCCTCGGTGTCCTGGCGGGTCCTGGGGGAGGGTCGTCAGCGGGGTTCCCGGGGGAAGTCCCGCCTTCAGGGTCGGCGGCACAGGCCGTAAGGCCTTCGCAATAAACATCCATAGGTATCCATGATAATCGGAGAGTGACGAGTGAGACCGAAGTGACAGGTGAGGTGCCTCAACTGGAACATCGTTTCGTTTCGTCGTGTCGGGCGTGCTTACGGGCGAGGCGGGGTGAAGATGCGTGAGTACCCCCTCGTGTTAGATCTGGGACAGGCCAATATGGACGCCCCAGGTCAGGATCGTGAGCCCCTGAGGTTCCAAAATTGTCCCGATGGTTGTTCCGATGGTTGTCCTGAGGATTGTCCCGATGATTGTCGCGTGGTTTCCCCGATGATTGTTCCGATGTTTGTCCTGATGGTTATACCGACGGTTGTCCCGTGGTTTGTCCTGAAGCTTGTGCCATGGGCGTCCCCAAAATTGTTTCGCGGTCGTCCCGTGTTTGTCCCGTGGCTGTGACTTGGTTGTCCCGCGGTCGTCCCGTGGTTGTCCTGTGGCTGTCCCTTGGTCGCTTGGTGGTTGTCCCGTGGTTGTTCTGCGGTTGTCGCGTCTGTAGATTACTAAGTATTTTGTGAGACCGATCGACTAATTTGAGGTCGCGCGGGTGAGACCGAAGTCAAACGTTTCGTGCGTGACTGTTGTGCGGGCGAGGCGAAACTGCGCAAGTTCCTGCACTCGTAGAGGCCAGATCAAGCCAAAATGAATCACCCCGTGTCGGGATCGTGGTCCCAAGTTGCCCCCGGGGTTGTCTTGATGGTCGTCCTGATGGTTGTACCGATGGTCGTCCCGATGGCTACTCTGATGGTTGTGCCGATGGTTGTCCCGATGGTTGTCCCGCTGGTTGTCTCCATGGTTGTCCAGATGGTTGTCCCGATGGTTGTCACGATTGTTGGCCCGATTGTTGTCCCGATTGATGGCTGTCCCGATGGATGGCTGCTTCGATATGTACATCACGCGATCGACAACATGTCATCGAAATATTAGGAGACTGATATACGGTGAGACCGGCCGATGTATACGTTGCACCCCGTTATTGCAGATACGAGGGAGGGGGCTTGCCCGGGGTGGGTCGCGCTTGGATCGCGGGTGAGGACAACGACAACAACAACAGCAAACAGACAGCAATAATCTGGACCGCGCACCCGAAGGCAATGCTGATGCTATGTATATGTGCACATCGGGTGAAATATGGAACCTTGTCGATACC